AGTAATATTCCATTGTATATATGTACCACATCTTTTTAATCCAGTCATCTACTTTTGGGCATTTGGGCTGCTTCCATGTTTTTTCCAATTGTAAATAAAGCAGCAATAAACATGGGGGTACAGGTATCTTTTTCAATCAGTGTTTTTATAGGGCCTAGACTTTTTTTTTTAACCTAATAGTGTTTTTAAGTTTTCTAATTAGTTATCACAATTTCAAGATTTCATATAGTCATTAAGTTTTCAGCTTCTCTTGGAAAGTCAAGTGTTGAAGCAGTGGACTCATATTCTTGCTGGGCAGCAACTAACCTGAGTGGAGTAATTAATGACTGTGCCCTTCAGAACAGGCAGGAACTCTCCATTATATTCTCAGAATTCCCTTTTCTTTTCTGTTTGGCATCCAAAAGCATTTGAATTTTAAAAATCTGGTCTGAAAATCACAGAGCTAGAGTCTTTTGATTTAGAACCCATTTTTTTTTATGACCTGTAACTGTTATTTATTACCTCTAGTTGTACTGTGTACTAATTGTTTTTCCTAAGATAGTCTTGTAGCATATGATATACATTTTAAAACACTTCCTAAATATGAATCATAAGTCTTATAAATTTTGCAAGTGAAAGTGATGCAAGTGTTAAGTGAAAATGATGGCTTATTTAAAAGTACGTAATAGGTGCTGTGGGATGACTTTTGAAAATTCAGTCTTTTGCCAATACTTACATATATTTTCTTCTTTTTTCAGAGAAAATATAGAGAAGCCTGTTAGAAGACGACATTCCTCAGTAAGCAGCACTTATTTAAATTTAATATTTACTACTTTATATTGAGTGATGACTATATGGCAGGGAAATTTTGTTTGTGGTGTAATCAGCTCTCCCTCACTGACTTCTGTTGGTCTTTGAATAAAAACTCAAATATTTAATATAGTTACATAATTCTATAAATATACTAAAATTTGTATCTTATTAATTCCATAAATTTTTACTGTGTAATTTATACTTCAATAAGGCTGTTTAAAAATATATTTAAAACTAGTTAAAAAAGAAGTAGCAAGATGCAAAAAGTGCAATTCAAACTGATTTAAACTCAAAATCTATTGAATTATGAAAATGAAATATCCAAAATAGGGATGACTTTAGGTATAATTTACAGATTGAGAGTTCCCACAATATCCCCAGTACCAGGATTTTCCTTTCATTTTTTTCTACTCCAGTTACTTTCACTGGATAACTCTATTATCTCTCTTGGTGATTACTATAGTACATGTATCTTTCCTAACTTTCAGGTTCAATTCCCACATAAAAATTAATGTGTATTTCCACAAGATAAATAAACCATCTCTGGATTTAACCATTTTATCTCAATTTCTTGATGTGGGTTGAGTCCTTATTCTGATACTCACTCTAATTGCTACCAATACGAAACTATCATATAGGTTGTTCTAGGCCAGGGCTCCATATATATCCTAGAATTTTGGTGGAGCTTCCCATAGAACACATGAAATGAGAGTAAGTAGTCAAGGAACAAGGAATTTGCCAATATTTAACACAGCCATAGGTATAGTATTGAACAGTATGAATTTGAGTGATACAGAGATCTTACAGGAATTTTGGCATCTCTGCCTTTCTATTCATGTATAACTTCATTATTAGTAAGTAAGCCAGATTTTCTTGAATTCACTTTTAGATTTTGAAACCACCAAGGAGTCCTCTTCAGGAGCTCAGAGGTGGAAATGAAACAGTTCAGGTAAGTCTCTAGTGCAAATGTTTTATAGATGGGCCCTCCCTGGTGTGCTGTGTTTAAAGCACAGCTCTATGAAGCTATCCCAGCTACTGCAGCATGAGTTTAATCCCTAGGCAGTGTGGTGACCCACATGGCATGGGAGAACTCTCCTGACCTGCCTGCTGCTCTCCTGAGCAGTGTACTTAATCCATCTGTCTGTTCTGCTCCCCCGTTTGTCTCTGGTGAATCCTCTCACCGCCCCTGCACCTCTGGCTTGTACCCCAATTCTGTATGCATAAATAAATAAATCTTTTTTAAAAATCTTCTAAGAGGATAGGCCACCTATTAAATGTTCTCACCACAATAAAATTAAAATGGTTTAGATGGTTAATTTAATATTCTGTGTATTTTAACACAATTAAAAAAATTTTCATCTTAGAAACAGTTCAGGCAATATAATGATTTGTCTGAAGTCTTCTTGGTAGCAAAAAGAACACTAATTACCTACTTTAACTATGTTATTTATGTTGGTATACTTATCATCACTCACATTGAAAGTCATATATATTATTGTTAAGTGATTCTACAATAGAATATTTTAGAGAATACTAATATCTAATTAACTGAAAATTAAGACTTGCTCTCTTTCTATAGAACTCTGGAGACTTGATTCACAATGGTTTAATTAAGAATCATAGCATATATTCTTTGTTTTTAGGAATCCAATGCTTTGAGAAATAAGAAAAACTCTCGTCGAGTCAGCTTTGCAGATACTATAAAGTAAGTTGAAAAGATAATTAAAATATTTAACAGATAGTGCTTTTTTATGTTTCAAATCAGGTATGTTGATATTTATTAACTGATGATCTGTGTTTCAGCTAGATAAATATTAGAGAATTTAAGGTTATGCAGCATTATTCTTAAAAGAGAAACAAAGCCTTCTAAAACAATTATGCTCTACTACTGTTCTTTAAAGTTGTATTGGAGGTGTTCACAGAATATATCTAGGGAAAGAAATTGGGGTTACAAAAATTTGAAATTATCAAATTATCACAATTTGAGGCATCAGTTTGGGGTTGTGGAATGTATACCCTGTAATAAGGCACAGCCATTGTATGTTTACCCTTCAATTAAAACTTGATTGTTTTATATGCTACCTTTTGGTCTTTGCATTTGATAAGGTAATTTCCTTTCCCCGTTTTTTTTTTTTTTTAGTTGTATCATCTCTCTCTTTTCATTGTTTTACATTGTGACACCTGTCACATTTATTTGTCTTAGTCCTATAATATATATTTAAATGTTCACATAAGTTCCTTTGCTATAATTGCCCTGATTACCTCATGGTTCACTACAGTTTTCTTTATTATTGTTTCTTCAAAAGAACTCATTGAAATAATGTTCCCTGAATTCTTGATGCTCAAACTGTTGGCTATAACCTTGATACTTGAAGGTTTACCTGTATGTAAAATCCTCAATTCACATTTTCTTTTCCTTAAGGAACTTCTGAATGTGGTTCTCTTATCTTCTGACGTTGAATGTTTCAAAAAATACTGTGTAGTTTTTCCCCTCACATAAATGATTAGGTCTTTTTAACAGGCTACCTAACATTTTTTTTTTCTTTATCTTTGAAGTTCATTGGTTTTACTAGGTTATATCTCCATTTTGTGTGTTTTGGGTCTTGAATTTTGAACTAGCCTTTAAAAATTTTTGTATTCTGGAGCCTTCCTGGTGGCACAGGAAGCTATCAGCACTATGAAGCTATCAGCAACCACTGCAGCATGAGTTTAACCCCTGCTTGGGAGCTGACCCACATATGGCACAGCAGACTTCTTCTGTTTCACTCAATGTTCCCTTTAGCAATATATTCCACTCTTTTTCTGGTGAATCTTCTACACCTTTCCAGCCACATACCTCTGGCTTACACTCCAACTCTTGTATGTACAAAGAAATAAAACAAATCTTTAAAAAAATTATATTCCATTATTTTGGATTTGTTTCAGGAACTCGATTTATAAATACAAATTATATTCTTTGCTTTACTTCTGTGTTTTTTTTCTCTTAATTCCTTTTATTTGCTTTGTTCATTAATTTTTTTTTTTAAAGATTTATTTATTTGCACATACAGAACTGGGGTACAGGCCAGAGGCTCAGGGGTGGTGAGAGGCTTCACCGTGAGAGACAGAGTGGGGAACAGAACAGGCAGATCTATGAAGTACACTGCTGAGGGGAGCAGCAGGCGGGTCAGGAGAGGTCTGCCACGCCATGTGGT